TCCTCTTGCAGACTTCTGCAAAATAGAAGATGCCTTTACTGCTGGAAGACTCTTTTTTTCAAGATGTGAATGAGAGAGTTTCGAAAGGGTCTGCATTAGTGATTGTAAGTTCTGCTCTTTATCAAGGAGTCGGAAGAAGACTGAACTGAGATTGAGGATATAATTTGGTCTTCCCCCCTCACCTTCTGTATTAGCAAGCATATAAGAAGCAATTTAATTCTCATTACAGTTTAAAGACTAAGCTGCAGTAGCTCAGAAGCCATTCAATTATTCCTTCTGGCGGAATAAACTTCAGTCAAAGGAGGAGGTTGGACGTCTGGGGGTGGTTTCCACATCAGCCATCTGGTTTTGCTGGTACTTGACTCAAAGCCCACAATTGTTTCCCTTCTCCTTTTTGGGGGTGGTTTCCACATCAACCATCTGGTTTTGCTGGTACTTGACACAAAGCCCACAATTGTTTCCCTTCTCCTTTCCCCTTGGCTCCCCCTGCCCCCCCAACATGTAGTCTATGTGACTTACGTAGTTTAGCCGCTGGTGCGTCTTTGGGGTGGAGCCACAGTTTTACTCCTTTTCACCTATGCTGGAAAATAAGTTTTGTTCCCTGTACCCCCTACCCAGTTTGTGATCAGGTGATGCATGTAGCTCACAGAGGGGAGTGAGTTGATTCTTTATATTGCCTTATTTTCTTAAACAGCCGTGCTATGCTGTCTTTCATCTCTTTATGCTTTCTGTAGTGCATGTCTTGTAACCCTTGTTCCTTTTGGCAGAGAGTTCAGTTTTCATCCTAAATCCTTTCTGTATAGTGATGATCTTATTTACAGGCAAAGTACTTAAACTTTTCTAGACCTTTTCGGTAGCCAGCATGGTAGCAAGCATTTGTAGCATCTGAATGATGTTGCTTTTCAGCTTTTCCATGAAGGAGGAACAACAGAATTCAAAAGAAAAACTTCTCTAGGGTGACAGCCTTGGCAGCTAACTGGAATGTTGGAGCTCAGAGCTGCTTTGTCAATCACAAAAAAAAAAAGCGCAGCTATGAAATGAAGTAACTTAACTTCCTTTAGCCCAAGTGTAACATCACTGTGTACTCACGCTTGGCAAAAACTTTTATATATTCATTCCTTGCAATTTCACCAAATGCAACTCATATTCTAGTGCTTGCCCTACTGCTTAATTGCTCTAGTTTTTCTTTTTGGAGTCCTCTTCCCAGAGATGTTATCTGTCCAATATCATTCAGTTTCTGTGTTTCTGAACTGTGCTGAATTTTTAGATACACCTGTACAGTTCAAAGAGAAGATATTTCATGTCCTAAATCAAGCAATAAAAAAAGTTAGAAAAATGTAATTGATGTGGTTCCCCTTATCATACAGAATGACATTATCAGAAAGAAGTTCCAGAATAACAAAGTGAAAAGCATTCTCCCTGTTCTTACCTGGTATTACTTTACTCATTAATATGCTAGGCTATGAACTTAAAACCTTGCTAAATATGGATATTTGTGACTTTTGGTATTGGCAAATCCCTTTTCTTGTCCTTCTTTGCAGTTGATTAAATGTGCAAAGTATTCCATAGTTCCTGAAATGTGTTATCCAGTGCTTGTGGGTAACTGTTAACGTAAGTCTAAAAGCCTTTTGCTATTTTGCACAATTTATGTAAAATCGGAGTTTAAACTGATAGAAGCAGTGTTACATTTGCCAGTGCAACTTCAGAGTGTCATTTACTCTCTGAGTCTACATGTGTTTGGAAACATTGCTGCCTGCTTTTGTGCAGAAAGATTTTGATTTTTTTATTATAAGATTTTGATATTTCTGTTCTATGGTAGAAGCAAACACATTTCTCTTATTTTCATACTGTAAACAAGCGAATTGTAACTGCAGCTTTAAGTTTCACCTTAGGAAACCTGTTTGCTGTTTTGCCAGAGGGAAATGTATTTTCTGTCTACTAAGTAAGCAGGTATTGAATCGGCATCCAAGTGACTTATTTGTAGGAAATATTCCCTTTTAAAGTTATCTGGCACAATAGAATCTTGATAGGAATTGAGAGTCTGTTATAAACTGCTGCTAGAACATCTTATCAATTTAAAGACATGACTATAAAATCCCCAAATATCATTCTTGCTTTCAGAGGAAAATATAAAGCACCTCAACTTAAAACCCCTTGGGAAAAACGCCCTGCCGTTCTGAAGCAATTCCAGATCGATCCCTGACAGCGACACCGTTGCCTCACTTTCTCGCTGGCTTACAGCCTGGCTGTGCAGAACAGAACAGCGTCTTAAATTTGCTGTTCAGCATGGATTTGTGGATTGCACAAGTATGGCTTCATGAACCACATTTAACAACCAGTGCTTACAGTCACAGAGCAAATTAGTGTGGGAATAGAATTTTGGTTTTATTTTCCTGGTTTAGTTCGACAGTAGCTGTTATACTACTGTTAATAGTATGAGTCTTCCATGGAAAAAAGGAAGGTAGACTTGAATTCTGTAGTTGTTTTTAACAAGAAAATCTGACAAACAGCATTCACCAGATACCTAGGAGATCCAGGATTAACTGGATTTCAGATTTATTTTTGGAAAAACTGCAGAGACCAGAAACAGATTATTTGAATTGCGAGTATGTCTCAGAACATCTCGCATTTTGAGGAACTCTCTGAAAGTGGTAAAACCAGTGAGATTACACACACCCACAGTAGTTTAAATATACAAAAAGGTACACAAGGCAGCTAACCAGTGATATTTAGTCCATAAAAAGAGAAACTTGGCTTTCTTTCAGAGATTTTTTTTTTTTCTTAACCTAACAGTTTGGGGCTATTTATGATATCTACATTTCATACTAACAGTGAAGTTTTGATAGAATAAAGCATTCTCAGCTTCAGCGTGTTTTGCAGTTGAGATGGCATGAAGGGCCCTTCTTTACAGGAGATAGCACACACAATTTTCACAACCTGAAGCAAAATCCTTTTTGTAACTATTTTTTTCATCCAGAAAGCATGAGCAGCTGGGTGGGGGCGTGAAGAATGAGAGGAGTTTGGAACAGAATGTCTTGAACGTGTAACTGCTCATATTTGTGAGCAAGAAGCAGCAATCTCTTTGAGAAGGGTAGAGAATCTAAACCAAGCCTGTTACAACATTTGAAACGAGAAAAATCATGCAAAGGTAAAATGTAAAAAAGCAAAAATCCTTAGTAAAACGCTACCTCACTTTAAATATGAATAAAATTTGAAAGATGGGTGAAGGCAAAGGACTGTGGACATTCGCAGGAGTTGTAGGCTTCTGGTTTGCTATTGACTTTTCAACAGTAGGTATTTTCTTACCACTTGAGAAACTTGCTTGTTGCTTTTACCACTGCTAGGGGATGTTTATGATGTACCATAACAAATAACAATTTCTGCATGAAATGGAATGAGCATGTAGATTTGTGTGCATGTTAAATTCAATTTGTAAAACTAAAGACTCAAGCGAGGTTCTGATAGAGTAATGGATCAGTGCTTTGACTTCCTTAGCGCAGTCTAATATTTTTTTCATTCTGCCATCCCCTGGGCCAATGTCTGTGTAACCCATTTGACAGCTCTGAACGCCGTTAATGAAATTAATGTTAAGTTTTTATTTTAGTTCATATGGCAAACTTAAACCTTTTCATTGCATGGTTACCTGATGTTATCTGGGGACCTGCTATGTTTATAAGAGAAACTGTGCAATGAAGTTGTAAATATGACTGTAAAAAAACCTGCTGCTGGTAGAAAAATAAATGATGAATCTTGCATGAACTGTAAAGGTTGTCTTCATGGCTTTGTGTTAGGGGAGGCAATTGTAAACTTTCTAATCGCAGTTTATCAGTGTATGTGTTTGAGACTGGCAAGACAAGGAAGCTTTCTTCAATCTTTAGCCAAGCTGAAAGCAGATCTGGGGAGGTAGTGTTAAAGCATTATATGTAACTCTTAAAACAGTACAAATCAACCGTAAATCTTGAATGCATGTATTATTAATGAACATTGATGTAAATGGCTCATAAATAGGTAAAGTGCCGGAGGTACCTGTATCTTAATTTATGATGTGGAGGAAATGTGAAAGCAGGCATCCCAGAAAAAAAAATTACTTCTTGCCTGTAAATTTTGTGGAAAAATATGGTAGTTGATCCACCTTTACAGGTATTAAAATTAAGTATGAATATTAAGCAGTTAATATAGAGAAGTTCAAATTCATGTGAATAAAATTAAATAAAAAAAATTTTTTAAACTACAAAAACATACAGATTTTAAGGAATTACATCATTATATAGGGCATTTGTACTGGCTATAGTTAATAGCTTGCATACCCTTAAAACAGGTTGCTGGATTCCAAGCCAGCCATATAGCTGTAATTCAGCCTGTTTTAACTGAATTCAAATTCAGCCAGTTCCATCTCTTCTTGTCATTCTTGTATCTGCATAAACAAATAGCATTCTTAGCTCTTACTTTGTAACATCACTGTTGAATACACTGGGTTGTTATTCAGATTTATTGTTATTTTGCTAATTTTGGCATCTATTCCCTTCTCTTTGAAGTAACTACTAGAGAATAGGTGGATTGTACTTGGTCTTGTGACAAAAATGTGAGTGCTTACTTAAATGTATCAATTTCTTTTTTTGTCTTTCAATCTTCAGATTTCCTGTTTAAGTTCTTGGTCATAGGGAATGCTGGAACTGGAAAATCCTGTTTACTACACCAATTTATTGAAAAGAAATGTAAGTATATGTGAGCACAGTAAGAATTCTCCACTGCTCTGTACCACAGATGAAGGCTCTGCCTACATGAGTATCTATTCTTTGTATGGAAGTTCCCGTAATTCTCTTGTTTGTGTAGATGAGGATTTTCACTGAGAATTATGTTCAGAACCATGCTGTAAATCTTTATTGCTCACTTGTTGCTTCTAACCAAGAGCCTGATACTGAACAGTATTCTCTGTTACTCTCAGATAAATATAACAGGATGTTGATGAAAATACAGACTTACTTTTTTGTGAGAATTATATCTTGCAGCTATAAGCTTCCCTAGATATATAGTAGAGACTTGATCTTTTAGAAAAAATACTGAGCAGATGAAAGAGAAGTCGAATTGCTTGAGTAGATTTAGAAAGCCTGTAGTCTTTTTCTAAATAAATAGATACTCTGTTAAGGACTCTGTTCTATGATAAGTACTGGTAGAGACTCCATTGTAAATGTTATTTAGAGATGAATAGATGATATAAAAGCAAATTTCCTGTTGGGTGGTGCATTTAGCATCATGATTAAACAAAAATGCATTTAGAAACCTTTGTAAATCTAAGGTGACAGTTATCTTTCTGATCCAAATGGTAACCCACCTTATCTCTTGAGGAATAGCTCTGGGATAATTGTAATTATGATGACCATGGCATGATTATATGACTGAACTTGAACTGTGACTTTGCTTCTAGTAAGAGCAGTTGTATATTGCTGAGAATCTATGATACCAACAGTGTACATAGAGCAACTATCTTAACTTTGTGCTTTAAAGAAGTAGTAGCTCTTGCCTATTCATGAGCAAGACTGTGTCTTTTTGTGTTCTACCTTTCCATGAATTTTAATTTTGAATTGCATCAAAGTATTAGAAAACACAATTGGGGAAAAAAGAGTGTACCGAAGTTATCTTGCCATTTATTAATATGAACTGGGAGTGATTTGATTAAGATAGGCCTTCCTAGTAGTAATTCTGAATTGAATAAGCTGTTCAAAAATTGTACGAATGTTTATTTCTGCATGGTGACAGTAGACTTAGGAGTGGCACTGAATTTGATGGTTCAGAAAGTAGTTTGTAATTTGAACACTGAGAAGTTTTGATTATACCTAAATTGGATTATATAAGAACTAATTATTCACTCTATTCTCCAAATAAGTCTGGTTTCATTTCTTTTTTGTAGTCAAAGATGACTCAAATCATACTATAGGAGTGGAATTTGGTTCAAAGATCATAAATGTTGGTGGTAAATATGTGAAATTGCAGATATGGGATACAGCAGGACAAGAGAGATTCAGGTACCCTTTTCAATCATTTTATTAAGTGTTTGTTATTAAATTGTTGCTGTGGTTGTTGGGTATTATTTATCCTTGCTTATAAGTAGGCATAATTTCTTGGTCAATGGAATTGTTTGTCTGCTTTTGTATTATTAACTAGGCCAGAACTTCCTACTTGGACATAGTGCCATAGATCCATTGATTTCACTAAAGCAGTGCTGCCTTGCAGCATCTGATGTTCTGCCCTTCCTTTCATTGGGTCTTTTCTGTGATAGTTAAAGTGTATGAGTAGAATATTTGGCTAAACCAGCCAAACTCAGTTTTTTAACTAACTCTGTGTGCTTAACTCTGTTTAGAAGACTTCTCTTGGTTGGAATAAGTAAATACCAGGAAGTTATAAGCTGTTCAAAATCTGCATGAGAACAATTTCATAGTATTCTAATATTTTATAAGAGGAAAAAAATCAGTTGTCAGGTTCACTTGACCAAATACACTTCTAGAAAGACTGAGATCTCTTTAAGTTTCTTAAAGAAAAAGCAATGTATTTGTCAGATTAGAACCACCAATGTATTTTTAATGCTGTATTTTAACTATGTCATACATCTGAGGCATAGATCAAACTCAGTAAAGGTCTAATGTATTCCTGAGTAAATTTACTGTCAAATAGGATATCCTTTTTTTTTTTTTTTTTTTTTTTGGGGGGGGTGGGCCGGTATGTGTGAGGTTTCTTTGGGGTGAGGCAGTGGTTAACGAGGGTGCACGTGGTGGTAGAATGATTCAGGTAAATGTCCTCTATTGGACGAGTTCTTCGGCTACATCTGTGACTAGGTAAAGCTGGGCAGTGTTATGTAGTCTCCATTAATGAGCTCTCTTCAGTGTGTCAGCCAGATATCCCGAGATTCTGAGGAGCTTGGAGGCTCTGTACTTTGAGGCTTGTGCAAATTCTGCTCATTCGAGTTCAAAGTGTTCACAGACTTGTAGGTCCTTTTTTTTTTTTCTTGTTGCTTTTTATAATGTATCTAATTCTTTTCTTTTCAAGGCTGATCACACCTCTGCGTATTTAGAGGCTTTTTTAATTCTTCCTCTACCTTCTGAAGGATGCTTTGCTTTGCTTTCCTTGCCTCCTTCTCTTCAACTTAAGGAGTCTTAAACTGTTCAGTTACAGCTAGTTTGCGCATTTTCTCCTCACTGCTGAGAGTTCAAACATAAGTTAATGATACTGTTTCCATGCCACAGATACCACCATCAGCTCCCAGTTCTGTATCAGGCCATATAGTACGATGATATGTGTAGCTTCAGCAGCACACAGCTCATAATGGACTTTGAGAATTGCTGTACAGCTGTATTTGGTGAAAGTGCTTTATCAAAAGTCTAATTGTAAATAGTCTGCTGCGCAGCTGATAAAATGTGTTTTTTAGACAACATTAAATATGTAAATGAGAATCCTGTTTCATAATATAGATTGCATTATATTAACACAGATTTGAAACAATAAAGATATTACAGAAATGTACATCTGTAATTCCATTTCAGGTCTGTAACAAGGAGTTATTATAGAGGAGCTGCAGGTGCTTTGCTTGTCTATGATATAACCAGGTAAGAAAGTTAGCAACTCTTTTGCTTATAGACTACCAGATACAATTAACGCATAATGATTCTTATCCAAGTAGCTAATCCTCTAACGGAGAATGGGCAGGAAAAAAAGAAAATAAATATAAAAAGTAGTTCTGTTTTAATGCGTATTTAAGTTTTGGAACTTGCTTACTATCTAAGTGTCATAAATGTAGACATTCTCAAAGGGACAGACAGATACATGGGCATTGGCCCACCAGTAGCTGGTCTAGTCATGGTGGGCTGCATGCAGCCACTGGCTCAGGAAGCCTTGCAGCAGAAACTAAGAGCAGACTTTAGCCACTTTTAATTAAGGTGGTACACCCCTATTAGTGGAAACTGCTTATTAGTATGCTGATATAACGAGTCATCCTCTGGAGAAGCTAGCTCTCCCTACACATTCCTTAACTGTAGCCCAAAATTCTATTCATCTCTGCATCTTTTAATATTTTCATATTAAGGCAGCCAATAGAATATCTTAGCATTACACGTCTACTTTTTTTTTTTCCTGGCCACCATTGACTGATACTTGTCAGATATGTTTTGTGTTGGTTAATGATGATTTGCTAAATCTGTTGGGTTTTTGTCCTGTGACCGTTCTCCTCTGACCAGTCTTTGAAATCTGTGTTTTGTGCTTAAAGTCAGTTGGACTCATCTGTCAGTCATAGTGCTTGAAGGCTTTATCTCTGACTGCCCCTACGGTGGCTGATGGTGCATGCAGGGTAACTGCCTGTGATGTTACTGGTCTGGACACAAGTGTGAAATTTCAGGCTTGCGATTCTACACAAGTGTAGTAAATTCTTACAATCCCACCTGAAACTTAAGTATCAGTTGAATTCTGTGTTAAAAAAATAACTCCTCCTGTTATCCCAAAATTTCATGCATAAAAGGCTGAAACTAGATTAGTGCTTAAGACTTTTTGCATTAACAGGGTATTTTATAATTGTGTGTATTTATATATTGTGGTTGATTTAATTTTTGCTTTTTCATGCACAAAAGGCTGAAACTAGATTAGTGCTTAAAACTTTATTTTTTGCATTAACAGGGTATTTTATAATTGTGTGTATTTATATATTGTGGTTGATTTAATTTTTGCTTTTTAAAAACTTTAAGCTTTTAAATAGTTCCATGAAGGAACTTGATATTCTTCCCGGTTCATAGCTGGCATATTGAGATGTGTAGGTGACTTGCCTGACTAGCAGCAATTTGTTGTTTGCCACAAGTACGGATTTGCCTTCTGAGTTTTAGCTCAGTGATCTGTTCATGAGAAATGAGTGTGTTCTAATAAAGGATGTCATTTTCTACATAGCCGGGAAACCTACAATGCGCTTACTAATTGGTTGACGGATGCAAGAATGTTAGCAAGTCAAAATATTGTGATAATACTATGTGGAAACAAAAAGGATCTTGATGCAGATCGTGAAGTTACTTTTTTAGAAGCATCCCGGTTTGCACAAGAAAATGGTAAGTGGTACAAAATCTTCATGTAGCATTCAAAGATGCTCAATACTTAAAATAGTTTATTTTTCTGTGCAGTTATGGAGTACTTTGCCCACTGTACCTTGTCACATATCTGCAGAAGAGCGTTCTGTCAGTACATGAGGCATAGAGAGAGGACAGTGCCTGCAGTGAAAACTACATGTACTATCTAAGTTCATTACTAGCTATTCTTCCAGGGAATGTAATACACCTTCAGGTATTGCCTTGCCTCCAAAGGGTTGAGGAGAAAACGAAGAGCACAATTTCCTAGTTTTCAGTATCTTGTAGATTCTATAGATCACAGATGAGGCTGGATGGGGTGTGCTGCAGTTGGAAGCACTGAGTTTTACTTATGGGAGACTGAGTTCAGTGCATGGCCTGGATCCAGAGGACTATTACCTGGTCTGTAGCATTCAGAACTTCCAGTCTGAGGGGACATTTCTGTGGCAGCTAAAGCCAGTCTCAGTCTGAGCTTCTGTGTTGCAGTCCTGCTATCAGTAAAATCTGGTTTTGCTTTTATGAACAGTCTTTTCTACCAACTGTGACTACTGTCTGTCCCTTTGCATATAACTTTCTATTAATGGGAAACTATATGAAGTTCTGTGGTTTCATGCACTATTTTGCATGCACAGCCCAGGTTATTATCTTTGGATTCCAACTTTCTAGGGTTAATGTATAAATTTCAGGGGAAGTTTTTTGTGGCTTTTCCATCAAAAGCTAATTTTTCTGGACCATGCTATTTGACAATAGTTCTCCTTAAGAAAATTTTTATTGTTCCTAGCTTTCATACATTGAGTTACTATATCAGATATTGCAGACTTATTTTGAGATTGTTTTTCTGTTGTCAAATGCAGAACTGATGTTCTTGGAAACAAGTGCACTAACGGGGGAAAATGTTGAAGAGGCCTTTGTACAGTGTGCAAGAAAAATACTCAATAAAATTGAATCAGGTAAATTGAGACTTCTATTCTTTTAATGTTTGGGTTTTTTTCCTGAAAACTAAAAGTAAATGTGGAAATATCGCCATTCAAAGTTCTCTAATAGAATTAACTCAAAGAACCAAAATGTCATTGTGGTAAAATAACCCATTTGTTTTATAGCTGCTTCCCATATGTTTGAATAGGAATGGATGTCCAAGTCAGATCTGTATATCTAAAAGGGGGGTTGGTGCGAATTATGGATGTTTTTACACGGCGTTTATCATAAGTCAGCTCTGAGCGTAGGCTGTGTGTTCTGTGGGCTGCTACATCCCTACAAATATCAAGCCTGACATCAGACAGTTTTAGCAATGCAGGATAAAAACCTAGTATCAGGGCAGACATAGCTTTTCATTCTGCTTCTCATACATAGCAGGAAATACAGTTGAGAATTTGAACAGTAATACTGAAAATTTCAGGGATGTTTCCTAGCAACTGTGATTCTCTGAAGTGACCTTCCTGCCTCTCGGTTGAAATGTTTTTACTTTTGCAGATCTAGAAATCTACCAGAAGCTTCTCAGTGCAAGTGGGCAGGTTTCTATTGGAGACGGGCTCCTAAGTGTTAGGTGCCATTACAGCTAATTTGCATTCCAATTTTCTTCTCTTATCTTCTAGCTGTTTGATATCTTCAAAGTTTAAAGTATTGGCCATTTTGAAAAGTCTATCTCAGACTCTAATTACACATTTTGAATGGCAAACACAAATTTTTAGATGAAAATAATATGGTATTTTTATAGGTATTTCCTGATTAGTGCATCAAATCAATGCCAAACAGCAATGTTCGTTTTAAACAAAAAACAAACCAAACAGGAAAATATAGCTAGTTTCTCCTGATTCTGTAGTTCCATGACTGATTTAAAGAGGCATTACCACAACAGAAGTAAGTCCTGGTTTCTGTGAACTGCTCCTGTTTTCTCTGTGCTAGCACACGTGCATTGAATCATGGAAAAACTGAGACTGGAAAGAAACTCTGGAGGTCTCTAGTCCAGCCTCTTGTCTAAAACAGGTTCAGGTTCAAAGTGAGAGCAAGTTGCCCAGGGCCTGCGGAGGCACATTGTGAGATGCTTCAGGAACAGGAGATTCCACAGCCCCTCTGGGCAATGCGTCCCAGTACTGAGCAACTGCTGCTATCATCTACCTTGTCAGTCCCCAGCCTATACCGGTGCTTGGGCTTGTTCCATCACAGGCGCACAACTCTGCATGTGTAGCTGCTGAATTTCATCAGGTTCCTGCTGGCCTGTTCCTCTAGCTTGGCCAAGGTCTTTTCTGAATGGCAGCCCTACTCCTGAGCTGTCAACTGGTCCTCTCAATGCAGTGTCATCTGCGAACTTGCAAAGGGCTCACATGTGTGCAATGAAACTGAATAAGTGATCTGAATTATTCAGAGGGATCCTTTGTTTTGCTGTCTTTTTTTTTTTTTTTTAAGATGTTTCTAATCTTGGCCAGTCCACCATAGAGCCATAAGAACATTTCTGGGGGTGTGGGGTATAGCCTAGGCAGAAATGGCTACCAGAAGTAGGGAACGTTGAGATAATTTCCTCTGGGAGCAGTGCTTTATGGAATCCCACTGTCAGATTGATGCATTTTTGTTTGGCTTGGTATCTACAGTACTACTTTCTTTGCGTATTAGTCTGAAAGCAGGTGGTTTTTAACCATGTTTGCAGAAGACATTTTGGATGTTTCCTTTCTTAGACGTAGTTAGTGCAAATACATTTCTTGTTGCAGCCTAACTCAGACACAGATAGCTTTGTAATTATGATTAAGGGCAAGTGGTTGAAATTACAGTAAACAGAATTGCAATAGATCTCTCCATAACTAGAGCAGAATATAATTATGCATTTTTTATCTAATGTTGTCAGTTAAATTGGCATGTATTATTTGCACGTGATCCATCTTCTTGTGACCATTTTGTTTCTCATCAGGAGAATTGGATCCAGAAAGAATGGGCTCAGGTATTCAATATGGAGATGCTGCCTTGAGACAGCTGAGATCACCACGTAGAGCACAAGCACAAAGTGCTCAAGAATGCGGGTGTTAAAGAAACAAAACACAAAATCCCAAATACTTACTTTAGATACAGAAGGTAAGGTTACAAAAACCTCAAGGTGTTGGATAAATTACCGTATTTCATAAATGTGCTGTATCAAGTGCTTGGCTTCTTCCAAGTTAGCCTGTAAAGTAACATAGGATCTAGTGAAATAATGCAGAGTAGAATGGATGTTTTTATATACTATCTGCCCACTAAAGCAAGACTAGTGTTCTTACTGAAGTATTTCTAGATCTTTGCATACTCTAGGTAATGCTGTGGAAAACATTTAAAATCTGTATTATTGAAATGCATAATAGCCCTAATAGTTACCTAATGCACTGTAGAAAAGGTGAATCATTTCTGTTGTATCATGGACAAATATTACTAGAAATGAGAATTCACCAAATGTATGGTGCAGTATCTTGTCCAAAGCTATTAAATAGTCTCTTCTGAAAATACGAAGTTTAAAGGCTGAGACTTGAAAATTAAAGATAATACTGGATTTCAAAGTTCCACTGACTTTCACCCCCACCCACCCACCAGCAGCCTGAAGTTGCTCTAATTCCTGTCTGCTGTGAGCAGAAAAGTAAACAAGAGAATATTAGTATTTGCTGCTTAAGCACTGTTGTCATCTAAAGTAGCTCTTCTAGGGCTGTTACAGCCTATGGAACAGGCGTACAGTCTTCTAAAAGTCTTCCAAAGACACTCTTCAGAGCGAGTGAGAAACAGATTTTTCCCTTTAGCAGTGGTAGGAGAAGAGACCTAGAAGTCACATAACCTACTGCTAAGAACAGCTTGGTGGTTAGTCTTTCTTATGAGCAGTTGTCCTTAAGACACCTCTCAATATTCATGGGTTTTACTTAACTCCTTGCAGTAGGTGGCTTTTAGGACAGTCCTTTCTCCCTGTGTAGTTAATTATTGTGATATAATTAATCCTTATTCCTCTAATATGAGGACAGCTATATCAAATTAAACAAGTACTGTGGGCATACTTATAGCATCATTTTTACTGTATTCACTTTTTATCAGTTTGAGCAGCGCACACCAGCAGAAGCTTTACAGAATGTTAAATAAGGCAGCATACAATTCTACATTCTCATATTTTGTTCTGCATTCTGGGAGCTTAGCTCCCAATTAAAGCTCAGAATTTAAAATAATGGATAGGAATCCTTGAGCTGCTTTCCTCCCTTATTTTCCTCCTGTAAAATATCATACATCAACTAAGAGACTGGTGGAGAAGGGCATTAATTTAGTTCAGCTTTGGTACATCTCTACAGGAGTGAATATTTATTGATCTTACTTCAGGAATTGAGTTTTCAGTTTGATCAGATGTAGATAATTGATGGAGTTCTTGTGTATTTTACAGCTGTCATTGCAAATGGTGTTTGAAGAAACAGAAAAGCTTGAAGGCTATGCAGTTTTTAAAAGCATCTTTCCACTGTCTACAAACAGAGCAGACCACTGCTGACAGAAAGGTGTATGGCAAGAATGTTCGCATGACACAAAAGTCTGCAAAGCAAACTTGATCATTTGGTGGACAATATTAAGACTCATACCTGTATGTAAACATTTTCCATTACTTATTTTTGTTCTTTCACCTCTAGTTTAAAGCATTGGTATATACTGTAAATAATGTAACAGTAAATTTACAAGGCATGGTATACTTATGTATGCTGATAGAATGTTGCACTACAAGCAGTTTAATATTTTATTTTTTTATCATATAAACAAATTTAACTGAGGTAGGCTTTGTCATGTTTGTTTATTGCACAATAGTTTATATTTATGACCTGAATTATAAAACCACTGGCACTGTCAGTGAGGGGTGGTTGTTTTGTTTTTTCCCTTCTTGGTTTGCCACATTCTAACAAGCTGTTGATATGACTGGTTCTCAACATGTGGTTAGGACCCATACTTATGTTTACTAATATGTTAAAGTTGGAAAAGTAATTTTTATTGACTGTCACATATCCTGTTCTATCGCATTTCTTAAACGACTGCTGAAGCTCTTTTATCAAACTTCAGACGTTTAGAAAAAATACTTTTAAGTCTCTCAAATGGTTGTTGACTGACTTGGATTTTTTTTTTTCTTGGTCCTGATGTTTTGTATAGCACTGGCATCATGAAGGTGGAATGTATATGTGAAGAGAACTGTGCATCTTCTGTGTCTGTAATTCTAGGGCAGGGGCATGGGCTTATGGAGAATGATCAAGTAGGAGTTCTCCTAACCTTTTACCACAAACAGAGCAATCAGCTGTGGAATTCTGATCTCTGTTGAAGCATACCTGATGAGGTACAAACTGAACCCAAATGGGTTGTTCTAAAGTATCCTGAATGTATGAAATCTAAAATGCTAATTTCTTTTTGTTAAACATTCATAAAGTACCATTAAGAACTTGAATTTTAAAATTAGACTTTAAAATTAGGAACTTACAGTCTGTGTTGCTCTGCCTTTGAACTTCATGTGAGTGCACTGTATGTAATGCTTGTCCACGTTGCCCCCAGGAGACTCATGTGATGGAAGGCAAAAAACAAGCATACTACTTATGTAGTTAATTCTTCCTGTGAAACTCATCAATAGGAATTTCAGCCTTAGTACTGATTTCCCAGCCCCCCATGTTAAAACACAGAATTCAGACTTTCTTTCTTGCTGTCTTTTTATTGTGGGGAAGAGGCATGGGGCAAGAGATTAGGAATCCTGTCCTCATTCCTCAGCTGGAGACAGAAGAGGAAGAGACTTGCAGGGGGTCCAAGAGGGAGGACTGAACTACAAGTATTGCTTATCATTTTTACAGTGCCATGACAACTGATCAGGTAAGAGCTTTTGTTTTGCCAGATAAGGAGCTGCAGAACTAAGCTAGTGTGTCTGGAGGTAGCTGAATTTAACCAGTTCAGGGGGGCAATTTCATTTGCACTGATTGATAGAAATCATTAGTGACATTTTTACTTAGTTACTTGTGTAACTAGAGATGGGATGGCTCCTTAGAAGTGCAAATTAACACAAAATAATTAATTTGATCAGAACCCAGTATTGAAATTCCAAGGTCAAACATGCTTTATTATTTTCTATTTATGAATTTTTTCTATTTAAGGGTTACTTGTGAAATGCATGTTTAAAAACTAAACCAGAAAACTGAACTGACTGTTATTAATTTAGAGGGCAGTTAAAGCACAAGAGCAAAGCAAGAATGGTACACAGAGGTATACCATCTTTCATGGAATTGGGATTGTATTTAAAACTATTCCTTTTGTCCTGACATTTTGGTTCAAATGGATGCTTATCTGAAAACCATACACCTTAGGCCATCTCTGAATTAAAATTAATTAAGCCTGCTTTGTACTTAAAAAGCCTAGGTTTGGTTCTGAAAAAGGCTGTTGGGTCCAAAGACTTATGTTATATCTCTCTCCTGGGTATCTCGTTAGATTTAGGATTGGATTTGTTATGTACTGGCAACAGTTATTCCCAAGGAGAATCCTCTTCCTGGTAAGAGTGTAAAGTATTTTTGAAGCAGCTTAACTGTGCATTGACAAGAACATCAAAGAACTCCAAAGAACCTTACCTGTCTTAATCCTCACTCCATTTATTTTGGCTTCCAGTGCTCAGAACTGGAAGTAATTACCAAAAGCAAGTCCTCTGAAGTAGATGCTGGATGCAGTTGTCTCCTCTACTGGTCCAAAGGGCAGATTATTAACTGGGATGTGCTGTGTATCTGCCAGAGTTGAAACCCCAAACAAGTTTTGGAATGCTGGGAAAAGATGAGGTACTGGGGAGTCTGTTTCCCCCACTTACAATCTAATCCAAGGTTTCTTGGAACACTGGCAAAAGTGAAAGCTGAGCACATGCTTACCAGCTGGGCCATAGCACAAGTAAAGTGAAAGGTCTCTCTCCTGTTGCTGTTACAGTGATTGAAATGGTGTTGGCTGTTGATCAAAACTTCTTTCCTTTATTACAGTAGCAGTTGAAAGGAGTGGGGGACTGTTACTTAATACTGTTGCTTTTAAATAGCAATTTTAGGGGTTTGGCAGGGATTTTCTTATACTTCTTCCTGTCCTTTTCGCTTTACATACAATACTGGCTTCTTTTCTGTACTTGATTCTTAGGATCATTTTGGTCAAGCGTCTGGTTAAGCAGCAGTAAGTTAAGCAGCAGTAAGCGGAGTTTTATTCTTTCTGTAACCAACTGTCTTAAGCTGTCCCCTTCCTACCTGGAAAGAATAGTGTCATCATAATGAGTTTTGACATGGTTTTACCATTTTCTTGGTATATACTCTTACTGTATACACATTAACTGGGTTAATGTGCATGTTTTGTAGTATTGCAACCTTTTATGCTGCACATCTCACTGACATTTTAAAAAGAAACTTTCTAAAATGTCAGCTCCTGAGAGAAATACTGTTGGAAGCAATAGCTCTCATTAGTACAAGCTATATTGTTTACTATTTCTCCTCTGAGGGTTTTTTATTTCTAAAAATAAGCATCATGCCCATAACAGCCCTGGAATAGAGTTTAAGCCTTAGCATCATATATCACACAGCAAGCCAAATCTAGCTCACCTAAACAGTAAATAACTAATTAAATTGTTTTTAACATAAAATTCTTACTTTACCAAAGCAAGATGGCTTGGAGTTTTACATGAAATAATACTGGGTACCTGTATCCTAGGATTTATTGGATGTGGAGCTTTAGCTGTTCAGACCTTTATAAGATTTAAATGTCTTTATTAAAGCCTATGTCTTGCCTTTTAATGAGTCTGTTGGCCTAAACTCTTTCATTTAATGCTTGTGTTTAGCACCAAATAAAGAATCTTTCTTGATTTTCT